AAAACGTTTTTTTTTTTTGAACAGGAATATTACACGGTTTATTTTACACGACCATGGCGGTCACAACAATGAGACGGCAAGTGCTTGCTTTCATCTCGTTTCTCTGTTTCTGTTCAGTGACAGGGCAGGTCAGTTACTCTATCCCAGAAGAAATGCCGAAAGGCTCTTTCGTGGGTGATATTGCTCAAGATTTGGGTTTGGATGTGAAGAGACTGAAATCAGGAAAGGCTCGCATTTATACGGGAGACAGCGCAGAGTACATCGAGTTGAATAAAGAAAGAGGAGTCCTCCTCGTCAAAGACAGAATAGACAGAGAGGTGATCTGCGCACAGACGGCGCCTTGTGCTCTGCATTTTCAGGTCATTTTAGAAAATCCAATGGAATTTTATAGCATTACCGTCGAAGTCACAGATGTTAATGACAACGCCCCGATTTTTGAAAGAGGCGAAATGAAATTCAGAATAAGCGAATCAGCTGTTGTAGGAACAGTATTTGTTCTCGAGCAGGCAATAGATCTGGACGTGGGTGTAAATGGCCTTCAGAGTTATTTGTTAAAGCCAACTGATAACTTTGTCCTGAAGCTGCAAAATCAAGCAGATGGAAGCAAGATGGTAGAAATGGTTTTGCAAAAGCCTCTAGATCGAGAAAAACAGGATCATTTATCGCTTGTATTGACTGCAATAGATGGCGGTGAGCCGCAGCTCTCTGGAGCTGTTCAGATCAGCGTAAATGTCCTTGATAGTAACGATAATGCTCCGGTTTTTACACAGAAAATCTATAAATCCACCTTAAGAGAAAATTCACCCCCAGGAACTATAGTGATCACAGTTAGTGCCACTGACTTAGACGAGGGATCTAATGGAAAAATATCCTATGTAATACTGAATTCTGTTGATGATGCCTCGGAAATATTTGACATAAACGGAGAAACTGGTGAAGTTAAATTAGTCGGAAGCACTGACTTTGAAAAGAAGAGACAATATCAAATACATGTCCAGGCTAGTGATGAAGGAGGACTAACTGACTCAAGTAAAGTTATTGTGGAAATACTTGATACAAATGACAACGTACCTGTCATAAATGTCATGTCTAAATCCAGCCTAATAGCAGAAGACGTTCAGCCTGGCACTGTTGTCACAATTGTGAATATCCAAGATGCAGACTCTGGTGAAAATGGAAAAGTTCAATGTGATATAAACAAAAATATTCCATTTTCAGTTTCTTCTACATCCAATAA